GGGCCTCCTCGGACCGGGGTCTCCCGCTCCCCTGGCCTGGAGGGTGGAGGCTTCTTCGCACCCCCCACCCCTGCGACCTCTCCGCCTTCGCCCCACCGTCCTCCCTCTGCCCAGAGGTGTGTCCAGCTCCGAACTCGCGCGCTCGGCTCTGACTTCCTGCCCGCGTGGGGTGTCGGAACAGCAAAGGCACCCCCGAGCCTCCACCAAGATTTTGACCCTCTCCTCCCCTCTATATTCTCAGGGTTGATTTTTCCAAAGACTTCCCCTGCCACCCTTTGTATGCCCTTGACGCCCCACCACCACGCTTGGGAGGGGGTGTGGTGGCTCCTCTTAAATTCGATGTGACCAAAGATCAGCCCATGACAGTCCCCAGGCGCCTGGGCCTCTGCGGGGAGCACCTCCGTGCGTCCCAACCTCTCCCCACCAGCCGGTCCTCTGTCACCGCCCACTCTCAGTCGGGCCACCAGCACCTCCCCACAGCTCTCTGTCTCTATGCTGCCACTGCACTCCTGTCTCCCCTGGACAGGTGTCAGGGTGTCTGAGAGGTTTCACAGCTAGACTATCTCTTAGCCGCCAGAGAGGCCACTCCTACACTCTTCCTCCCCTTCATAAATAACCCTTTGGAACTTCCCATCTGCCTGAGTGTCTTGGTGTGAACATCAAAGCCTAGCTCGGCCTCCCTTCTCCTCTCTTCTCACCATACGCATGCGCCTCCTTACAGTTTCTATTATTATTATTATTCAATTTGTTGTGTGCCCTCGAATCGGATCCGACTGGCACAGGAGGAGATTGCCCCATCTTCTCCAGCAGAGCATCTGGTGGATTAGAACTGTGCACCTTTGGAATTTCAGTGCAGCTTTTTGCCACGAGGCCACCAGAGCTCCCCCTTACAGTTTCTAAAACAACCCAGGCTCCCCCCATCCCTCCCTTACGACCTGTGTAAACTCTGACTCCCCTATCCTTGTGTCTTTTGTCCACATACTTACCTGATTAACTCCTTGTTTTCCAGTCTCCATGGTGCCTAACAATTCAGCATTACTTTTCTAAATACATAATATTTATTTACAGGGAGTTCTGGTGGCGTACTCCACACTGCGTTGTGCTTCTCTGAAATGCAGCAGCTGCTCTGCGGGAGGAAGATGAGCAATCTCTGGTATGATTTACAGCCTTGGGAACCCACTGCAGGGCTCCCTAGGAGTTGGAATCTACTTGATGGCGATGAGAGGAGGAGACTTCACACCCACACACACCCACCGTCTCTAGGTACACATGCCCTGGTGGGGTGTATGAGACTCCGAACTGAAAGGCCAACAATTGGAACCCACCAGCCCCCTATTCTATGCCCACCAAGATATGTGTATTTATAAAAGTAATGGGAGGGGCGAGCTCTGGTGGCCTAGTGGCAAGAAGGTGTACTGCAATCCCAGAGGTGCACGGTTCAAAATCCACCAGATGCTCTGCTAGAGGAGGAATAATCTCCTCCTGTACCAGTCAGATCTGATTTGACGGTACACTCACACGCACAAAAATAATAATAAAAAAAAGTAATGGGAGGTAGTCTGACACTTCTTTAGAAAGTTGGAAATAAAATGTCATTTGATTCCACAATCCCACTTCCAGGGATTTAACCTACAGAGATAAAGGCTGTGACATGAACTGATGATAACTGCACCTTCATGAAGGCAGCTTGGGTGGTTTAGCCGGTAAGGGGTTATGCTGTCAACCCAAAGTCAGGCCATTTAAATCCACCAGCTGCCACACAGGAGGAAGATGAAATCCTGTGTGATTTATAGCTTCTGAAAACCCATTGGTGGGTCACCTATGAGCTGGTTTAGACTGGATGGCAATGACTGAGTGAATGAATATTTCAAATAGCAGAGTGATGAAAACAAGTCAACCATGCATCAATAAACTAATGGTCAAAGAAACGCTGGTACCCTCACACAATGGAGCATTATGCAACAGCGAAGAATAAAGAATTCTGAAATACTGCATGCATGGATGAATCTAGAGGACTTTATGCTGAGTGAAATAAGTCAGTTACAGAGGATAAATATTAAGACTACAATTTTTAAAAGTTGGGGCAGTCTTGTGTTGCTCAACATCCACCCACAATATGGTCAGTGAAAAAGGATGTTACATGATTTCACTGTTGTGCAAATACCATATTATCTATGAACAGTCCAGATTATGTCTTTAAGTAAAATTACTTAAGTCAGAATAGTTAGGTAGAGTTCATATTTCATACCAGTCAAAGAAGCACTTCAGAAAGCCAAAAACATCTTTAACATAATAATACGGTTGTTGAGTACCTTCCAGTTGGAAATTACCCATACCTGCCCTTTCAGCAGGTTTTCAGAGGCAATAAATTGCACGGAGGGGGGCGGAGATTACCCATCCTTCTTCCGGGGAGCAGCTGGAAGATTTGAACCAAGGGCATACAGAATTGCAGCACAAGTTTTTACCAATAGGCTACCAGTAGTAGTAGTAGTAGTAATAATAATAATAACAACAACGTTTTTATGCCTGGTTTTTTCCTTATGAATTGTGAGAGCAGGGTTCATGCAGGGTGTAAAATGTTAAACATTTTGGTAGTTTTTGTTTGTTGTTTTTCCCCCTTCTTCGAGGGCCAGGCAGTAGGGTAGTTTCTTAAGAAGTTAAATACTGGACTATTACAGAGCCTAGCTGTTTTCTTATTACATATTCACCCAAAAGAAGAGAAAGCTCATGTTCCTACAAGCGCTGGTAGGCTCGTGTTCCTAACAGTTTTGTTCTTAATAGCCAGCAATGCCCCTTAACAGGGGAAAGGATAAATGGATGGCAGGAGATCCATGGAAAGGAATGGACCACGGATGGACACAAGAATGTGGAAAACATTTTGCAGACACGTTTTAAAGAAGTTAGACTCAAACGGGCACGTATTTCAAAATCCCATTTTTTAAAAGGCATCATAGGTCAGCAAAACTACCTGGTGATGGAAATAAATCAGTGATTGTCTGGAGAAGGAGGTAAGGAGTGAATGGATACAGAGGAGACTTTCTGGAGTGCCAGAACTGTTTCTATTTTTATTTGGATGGTGTTTACATAGGGATGTCTTCTTGTTGTTGTTACAGCCTGTGGACTATGGCTCATAGTGACCCTCTGGACAACAGATCTGAGCCTTGCCCTCTTCTGCTCCATCCTCTGCATGCTAGAGCCCATTGTTACAGTCACTCTGTTAACTTGTCTCATTGAGGTCCTTCCTTTCTTTCTCTGTCCCTCCACCTTTCCCAGTATGATGACTCTTCCCAAAGACTGGCTTTACCTAACAACATGTCCAAAGTATGTGAGATAAAGTTTCACCACCCTGGTCTCTAAGGAGCACCCTACCCTGGTGTACTTCTTCCAAGACAGATTTGTTAGTTCTTTTGGCGGTCCATTTGATAGTACATTTTGCCAACTCTACAACTCAAAGACATTGATTCTTCTTCTCATTTTTATTATTGTTGAACTTTCAGATGCATAGGAAGCAAATAAAAAAAATACGATGGCTTGGGTAAGGTACACCTTAGTCTTTAAACTGACATCCTTGCTCTTTGGAATTTTGACGAGGTCCTTGACAGCAGATTTTTCCCAGTAGAACACGTCCTTTGATTTCTTAGCTGCTTTTACCTTGGGTGTTGACTGCGAATCCAAGTAAAATTAAATTCTTGATGTCAATCTTTTCTTCATCCGTTATGGTGCTGTCTGTTGGTCGAGTGGTGAGGATTTTTATTTTCTTGATTTTGAGTCCTTTTTCTTCTTCAATAAGGGCTTCAAGTCTTCTTCACTTTCTACAAGCATCACATTCTTCTTCATATAGTGCAGCTTCTCGAATGATTTGTTCAGCAGACAGATCAAATAGGTAGGGAGAAAGGATACAACCTTGACACACAGCTTTCTTGATTTTAATCCATCAGTTTGGATAACTGCTTCTTGGTCTATGTATAGGTTTCATGTGAACATAATTGAATGTTCTGGGATGCCCAATATTCTTTATGTTAGCCATAGTTTGTTATGATCCACACACACAGTGGAATGCCTTTGAGTAGACAATAAGTTTATATCTTTCTGATATTTTCTCCTTTTGCTAAGATCCAGCTGACATTAGCAATAATATCCCTCTTACCATGGTGTCATACCTTAGTCAAAACACATATTAAAATGAGTGTGCTTTATTTTCTCATCAATTATACCTCAATTTGAAAAAGGCCTGTTGAGGAGAAATCAAACATGGTGGCTGAACTAAGAAGTTGGAGCAAGAAAGCTAGAGGGGGTGTCTGTGGGTGAGGTGACTGGACACCTATGGCTGTTGTCCATCACCAGACACGGCCGTGAGGTCCCCAAAGGCCTGCCTTTCACTGTAGCCCAGCCCCAGCTCAGTGCCCATCCCACAGAATGACAGCAGGAAATATCTGCTGTGGAATGCAGGAAGAGCGACTGTCTTAATCATCTAGTGCTGCTTTAACAACAATACCACAAGCAGATGGCTTTAAGGAACAAAGGTTCATTATCTCATGGCTTAAGAGGCTGGCATATGCATCAGGAGGAAAAGTCCTTGTCTCCTTTGAACATCTGTGGCCTGGAGGTCTCTATGCACTTTGGCCTTCTCCTGTGTGGAGAAGATTCCCTGGGTACAAAGAACATTTTCAGCTCACAGCTCTTTATTTTGGTGGTATTTTAGTCAGTCTCCTTCTCTGCCACTTTTCTCTCCTGTAAGATAAAAGGTGATCACTTCAATGACTGAGGGTGTTGTGTTCCACCCTTTGAGCTCCATCATTAAGTGAACTCTGGTGGTGTAGTCCACAGGGAGGTGCACTGCTCACTCAAAGGCCCAGCCTCTCTGGTGGTTCGAATCTACCAATGGCTCCACAAAAGATAGATGGGTCATCTTCTGCCATGTGATTCATAGCCTCTGAAAACTCTCTGAGGGTTCCAATGCATGGAGATGAGATGATTCCTGCAAGCAAGGTTACGCCATCTGCATATGGTTGTTGATGAGTCTTCCTTCAATCCTGATGCTAAATTCTTCTTCACATAATCTTCTTCATATAACGGGGTGATTTGCTTACCATACAGAGTGAATGTGGTGAAAGGATACAGTGTTGATGTGCACATTTTCTTATTTGAAACCACAGAGTAGGAAGGAGGCAGAGGGACACAGAGGTTGCAGTGATGATGGGTGTAAACACAGCAGAGATGGAGAAGATGTCCCAGGATGGGTCAGGATTTTGTTCTGTTGTACCTAAGGTTGTTGTTAATCATAGCTAATTCGTTGGTGCCTAACAATAACATTCCTGCCCTAATCCTCTTAGAACCAATTGTCTTATTAGTCATGGGAGATCATGACATAATCACATAACTGCCCTATCACATCATTACATCTCAGACACTGAGAATCAGGACCAAGTAAACACACTTTTTTTTTTATCTCTATTTAGGTTTATTCCTAAGTATGTCATCTTGTACTTAGCTGTTGCAAATAATATTGCTTTTCAAATATCCATTTCCGTGCTTCCTTAAATACACATTTTTGTGGACATGATTCAGTTCATGACAGAAATTCAGAGAGGCCCTTGCTGGCTAAGGATACACTGGTCCAGCCCTGATCAGATGGCCCTGGAAACGTCATTACTGTAAGGTCAGGCAGTCCTGGGCTGAGAGGAGTGGGCAGGGAAGAGGCCACTGGCCACAGAGCCTGGGATGATCACTGCTCCACCTACCTGGGCTTCCTCTCCCTTATACCAAAACTTTTGGGAGCCAGGAACATACACTCTGTGGGGCTTGACCTTTTCAGACCTGGGTCTGGTATTGAGAGAAGCTGGAAGCCAGACATCTGGTTGGGAGATAGAAGTATGGTTAATCTGCCCAGGACTTGGGAAAGCCTCCCAAGGTGAGAGGTCAGGATGGATGTGGGGAGCGAGTGTGGACAGGCATCTAGAAAGGACCAGGCCCAGGGGCTTGGGGTTGCTCTTTTTACTGTATAGCATCTCATTCC